TTCATCTGGCGAAGTGTCTGTGTCTTCGTGGTGTCTTGGTCTCTTACAAATGTTCTCTTTAAATTATATTTGTGATGGGGGTCTCTTTTGTGCCCCAAACAACCTCTTGAAATCCAGATAAACATTGAAGAATTAAAAATGCTAATGAGGGTGATGAATCCAACTGGATTTTGCCCCAATCCCTTTCTACTGTATTCGAGTGTAAATTCTGAGCACTGCATTTGCAGAAGGCAAACAGTGAAAATCCCAAAACTGTTTGTCTTGTCTAAAACAGTGCCCATATCTCCACCATGGCCCAGGCCTGCTTCTGTAGCGGCACTTGTTTGTGTCAGGTGCTGTGGGCTCGGTTCCGACTCATAGCGCCCCTGTGAACCACAGAAGGAAACCCCACTCATCTTGTGGCATCCGAGATTGTTCCTGTGTTTGAGCTCTGGCTGCAGCCGCGGGGTCACTCCATCTCCTTGAGCGCCGTGCTCTTTGCCACTGCCCTCTACTCTACCAGGCATGATGGCCTTCCCCAGGGACTGCTCCTCCTGACAACATGTCCAGAGCACGTGAGACAGAGTGTCACCATCCATGTCTCTAAGGAACATTCTGACTGTGTTTCTTCCGAGATCGATTTGTTTGTTCTTTTGGCCGTGCAGAAAATAAAAACAAGTCCATGGCAGCCCAAATACAATCTTGAGTTATCGATCCCACCTGAATTTTGAGGACATCTCAAGGACAGATCTGCTGCCCGGACACTAGTGACAGCAAACCTGGCCAGCGGTGGGAGGGCATCAAGATCAGGCACGAAAAGGCAGTTGGGTCCCACCTGTAACAGTGAGATCCTGTTCTGCTGTCAATCATGAATTTACGACAGCCCCGTTTGTGTTCCATGCCACATGTAAGCAGCCGTGTGGCTATGAATCTTTGGACACCATTCAGATCTGGTGCTAATGATCTCCCTCCATTTTTTTGTCCTTTTCGCGTAAAAGACTTAATAAATGTTCTCCTTAAATTATTTGAGATTAAGATCTCTTTTGCACCTTTAAACCACTGCTACCCAAGGAGATCTTCCCTGATATTTTTTTTTTTCGGTATTGAAAACCATTTTCTCCAGGCCGCAGTTTTCAATCACACCACGCTGTCAGTGGGGGAGCAAAGGGGTGATGGCCAGGCGTGCGAAGACGAGCAGGTGACCTCGCCAGCTAGCTGGGGTGGGTGTCCTCTCTTCCTCCCCACGTCCCCACGCCCGAGGTGGGCGGGCCGCACGTGGGC